CCATTGAGTCATGAAAAGATATGACGGAAACTTAAAGCCATAGTTAGTAAGTAAAAAAGGTCCATCTGAAAAGGCTACTGTGTGATTTCAACTATTTGACATTCTAGAAAAAGCAAAAGTATGAAGACAGTAAAAAGACCTGGGATTGCCAGGGGTCAAGAGGGAGACAGGGATAAACAGGTGGATGGAGCACAGAGGATATTTTGGTCAAGGAAACTTTTCTGTATGATACTCTAACAATGGATAGAGTCCAAACCCAGACTGTATAACACCAAGAATGAACCCAAACCTAAACTGTGGACACTGGGTGATAATGACGTGTCAATTTGGTTCATCAGTTGTAACAAATGCTCCACTCTGGTGGAGGATGGTGATAGTTGGGGAGGTTGTGCATGTGAGGGTGTTGGGGGGCATATGGAAATTTCTGTATCTTCCTCTCCATTTTGCTGTAAACCTAAAATGGCTCTAAAAAGTTAAGTCCTTTTACAAATAAAAGCAGCATTAACACCCATGGCACCATCACCACAGCTCTTAGGTTCCTTCTTTCAAAGGCTCCACCGCAGGACCTTTGCACATGCCTCTGCCTGGAACTTGTCGCTCTCCCAACTGAATCTTTGCACCTGCTTTGCGTGTTAATTCTCATGGATCTTTCAGAATTCAGCCCAAACGCAACTCCCTCAGCTCTCATTGGATCCCCTCATTTTTACCCTTTCACAGTACACGATGATCTTCCCTGAGGGCACGTTCACTGTTTGTAATTAGGGAGTTGTGACACTGCTCATTTAATATCCAATTTCCCCACTAGAATGATTTTTATGAGGCGGGCAACTATGTTTGACTGACGTGATGCCCCCGGCACCTAGCACAGACCCTGGCACACAGCTGGAACTGAATAAATACATGTTGAGAGAATTAATTAACTAATGGCTGAACGAATAAAAGAGTGATGAGAAGCTGCTTTTCATGTGAGCGACGAACTCTTTTGATGCGTCAGAGATTTTTACAGATTATCGAGGAGCTGGAGAACCTCCATCCAGAGCTTTTCCTTTTGCTTCCACCTCCAAGGGGACCACTTGGTTGCAGAATAGCCGCTGTCCAGCGAGGGAGGTGAGGGGTCCGCAGAGATGCCGTCTTCTGTGAAGACACACAAGCTAAGTGACCAGTGAGTACCCAGGGACATCTGCCTCCAGCCCACTGCCGACGTCAGGGCAGACACATTCTTGGCATCCTAGTGTCCAAAATGGAACTCAGAGCATGTTCCAATGAACGGGTAGCCTACTCTCTGATGGAAATATCTAAACTTTGGGGGTGAAAGGACACCCCAGACTCAACATATGGTTAAAAAAATATTGTTCCCTGGAAATTTTGTAATCTATTCAGACGAAGTAATCATGTTTGGAAATTGTCACTGATCATTCTGGGGACAGGGTGGATTCACAAAAGCGAATGAGATTTTTTTTAAGGTCTCACCAAATCATCCCTCTTTTCTCCTTTATGAGAAGGTAATAATCATATCTACCATGTAGAGAATACCTACTGTGTCTCAGGCTCTGTACCAAGTGTATACACACACACACACACATATGTATGTACAGTATTTAATCTTCCCCAAACCCTGCAACATGGGTATGATTATCGCCATTTTACACACAAAGAAACTGAGTCTCAGAATAATCATTTGACTTCCGCAGGCTCATTCAATCTATAAGAGGCAGAGCTAGCATTTTCCCTCAGGTCTGTCTGACATAACTCCAGCTGATCACTCCACCAGCCTCTGTGGAATTGCCAGATTTCAGCGAAGCATCTGTCCCAGGCTCTCTCTGATCATCATGCTGTGGCTGACATCATAAGCTGTTCTTTAGATGATCAATCTCTTTAGTGAACTTACCCCTGGCTGAGACATTACATCCAGAGCTTTAGTCAGCAATTCCGGTTTTACCTGGAAGGAAAGCTCTGGGTTTCACCTGGAAACCATGTCTGATAGGTTGGCAGTGCTTGCCCAAGACCCTTGGTGTAGAGGAATTCTGAAGGTGTGCCTGGGCTTGGCATGAAAGAGCATGGCAACTACCAGCACTTTCTCCTAGAAGTTGGGGCGGGAGGGTCACCAAGGGCAGTAGAATGACACATCATGCCTATCATAAAAGATGCTCTAAGACTTTAAACAAGCACATGTCCCTAAGTGAACTGCTCAGTTCAATTTTTATTTATTTATTTTTCTTGAGACAGAGTTTCACTCTCGTCACCGAGACTGGAGTGCAGTGGTGCGATCTCGGCTCACTGCAACCTCTGCCTCCCAGGTTCAAGTAATTCTCCTGCCTCAGCCTCTCAAGTAGTTGGGATTACAGGTGCCTGCCACCATGCCCAGCTAATTTTTTTGTATTTTTAGAAGAGACAGAGTTTCACCATGTTGGCCAGGCTGAACATGAACTCCTGACTTCAGGTGATCTGCCTGCCTCGGCCTCCCAAAGTGCTGGGATTACAGCGTAAGCCACCGCGCCCAGCCCCAGCTCAACACTTTACATAATGACTTTTAAGATGAGATTGAGAACATGCGAATGAAACCTACGCATGACACAATACTGGGGGAAGGAAACAATGTTTCATCTGCCAAACTGGGTGACAACATAGGGTTGTCACTGCATCATTTGGTTTGCCACTGGTGCCACCAAAATTTGAAATTCCCCCAGAAAAATTGTATCGTTTTATTTACCATATTGGGAGTGGGGAGTACAGGACACTTGTCTCCACGGATCAGGGAACTAAAATGGGGATTTTGTCAGTTATTCAGTATCTCTAGCTCACGATGTTTTGATAGGTTTTATTGCTATTTAGGTCTAATAAGGCCAACAGACCCAGAGATGGCTGCTATGAAGCGTTTGTTACTGACAGGTCCCAGGAGAAGGGGAAGAACTAGAGCAGAGCAGGAGGAAACGGTGGGACACAGCCTCGACTGTGGTTTCCCTGAGAAGGATGAACAGGCTCCCACCCTGAGAAGGCAGAATGAACAGGCTCGGGACTGGCGTGCTGAATAATTTCAGCAGCTCTGGGGCACAAGGGCTGTCCCTAGTCGTGAAGCACTTGGCCTGGGGCAATTAGGAAAGCCGGCGAGTGGCCTGGAGTGTGAGAGCCAGAGGAGGTGGTCGGGCTGTGAACTCTGGATCGGTCAGTTTGTACTTGAAAAGGTGTCACTTCTCCAATTCTCCTCTGCTCCTTCTTTTCCAGACCTCTGCACGTTGGAACGCCCCAGTGATCAATGTTCAGACCCTTTCTCTCTCTCTCCAGTCTCCCCCTAAATGATCTCAGCTGGTCCCGTGGCCTCAACCGCCATCTATATGCTGGGGATTCTGAAATCTCTCCTCCACTGATCCCTTCCAAGATCCAGACCTATGCAACCAACCACGTCTCCTGCTCTGTATCCTCACCGGGACATCTGAGGAGCATCTCAAATCCGCGTGGCCAAAACTGTGCGATTCATTCCATTACCTCCACCTCACATCCGCCTTCTTACAAACACATCACACCCCCAGCCACCCAGTTGCTCCAGTTAAAAATAAATGATGAAGAAAGTGCGTAAAATGCTCCAATGCTGCGCAATTAAATCGAACAAACTAAAAAGCCCATTATCGCGTCCTCAGAAGGTTCTGTGACCTGGTTCCACCGCCTCACTGAGCGCCCTCTCCACTACCCTCCTAAGGCTCACCATTCCCACCCACCGACTTTCTGTCTCTCAAGCTACTCCCTGATGTGGGCCACTTAGACTTCCTGGCCCTTCTGATGGGAAAGCAGCCACTTCCACTAGTGTACTCCCAACCTGCCGCCACCTTTAGGTCTTGAAAATCATTTAGTTCACCGAGCTATGGACTGGTACTGGCCTGTGGCCTGTTAGGAAACAGACCTCATAGCAGGAGGTGAGCGGCAGGTGAGCCAGTGAAGCTTCATCTGTATTTCCACCCACTCCCCATTGGTCACATTACCTCCCGAGCTCTGCCTGCATTAGATTCTCATAGGAGCGTGACCCCTATTGTGAACTGCACATGTGAGGAATCTGGGTGGCATGCTCCTTATGAGAATCTGATGTCTGATGACCTGTCACTGTCTCCCATCACCCCCAGCTGGGACCATCTAGTTGCAGGAAAACAAGCTCAGGGCTCCCACTGATTCCACAAGATGGTGAGTTATGTAATTATTTCGTTATATAGTACAAGGTAACAGTAATTAAGTGCACAATGAGTGTCATGTGCTGGAATCACCCCGAAACCATCCCTCCCATCACCCACTTGTGGAAAAACTGTCCCTGGTGCTGAAAGGCTGGGGGCTGCTGATTGGTTTATCTGATTCTCAAATGATATGGTTTGGATCCGTGTTCCCACCAAACGTCCTGCTGAATTCTGAGGCCTCCCCAGAAGCCGAGCAGATGCCAGAATCATGCTTCCTGTACAGCCTGTGGAACTGCGAGCCAACTGCACCTCTCTTCTTCATCCATCGCCCAGTCTCAGTATTTCTTTATGGCAACGCGAGAATGGACTAATCCATCAAGCCTCACCACCTCACGGAGGCCTCCCTGACCAACCTCGCTCAAACAGCCCTGAACACAATCTCACAGCCCCTAGACACAACTCACTGTCTTATCCTGTTCAACACCTTCATGTCCCTCATCAGGACCTGACATCATCTTATTTCATCTTTTGTTTACATGTGTATTGCTTACGTAATATAAAGGTTCTTAAGGGCAGAGATTGGAGATGTCTGCTCTAACTAGCATGGTCTGTGATGTGAGGGATGTGACAAGCACCTGGAGAACAACTATTATTACTGAGGTTGCCAGGAGCTACAAGTGTGCGTGTTCACCAACAATTTCAATCCGAATTGCTCCCACCTGCGGGGAAACGGCTCTGAGGCTTTTCCCCTCTCAAGCGCTTTAGAATCCTGAAGTTCATATTACTGCACTTAAAAATATCCGACCTGAGCAAGTCAAAAACAGAGGAAACACCAGACAGTTTGCATTATTAGACTGTAGGTTTTTATTAAAGCAAATATTTCTCATAGCTGTGAGGAAAGCATTCGAATTCATCAAGTGGACTCACATCTCTGCACAAATAGGGCTGAAAAGGGACAGAAAGCCTCTTTCGCGTGTATAGGTTCAGTAAATCGGCGGATTTCAGTGTATGAATCATGGAGGCTATGAACGTTTGCAAACTGTAAGGCACTGGCAGGCAGGAGAGAACAGATAAAGGACTTCTGGGGTCCCCCGTCCTGTACAACAACCTCCCAGCTCACCCCTTAGCTTCCACCAAGAAGGGTGAACACAGCATCCCTGTTACCTTCACTCGGACCCCAGATGAGACACAGGAACCCGTACAGCTCTGCTCCCACCACAACTCATGAGGAAATCAATCACAATGATCAACTTGCCCTCGCACCTCCTGCAGATTATACTTGAGTAAAGCAGATCTTCGTAAATTCCTTTGTACTTTGTACGTTCTAAAATGCCAAGATTGTGAATCACACAAGCACCGCTCAATTTGTTGAAAGCATTTCTGCTGGAATCTCAAGGGCCCACCATGTGGGGAGAAATTATTTTTTAATACCCATTGGGCAGGACACGCCGGTGCCCCCCAGGCCGCAGTAGCCGTGGGGGTTCTTGCTCAGGTACTGCTGGTGGTAGTCTTCCGCGTAGTAGAAAGTCTGTCTCTCCCGGATGTCGGTAGTGATGGGGCCAAAGCCGTGCTCAGAAAGAACCTGTGGGGACACAGAAAGGCGCCATCAGCTCCCATGCTAGAGAGAGAGAGACAGCACCCGTGGCGGGGGCGCACTCAGGCCGGGGCTGCAGGGAGCGGACGCATGGCTCGAGATGCGCAGTGGGTCCCTTCAGGCTGGGTTTTGTGCATTCCAAGCAAAGCAATGCAGAGCAGGGACTTACCTTGCTGTGCCTCAGTTGACTGGGAACTGAAGTCCGGTTTCCAACGGATTTTTAAATCTGTCATTTACACTCTATTTCTATAGCCCTGCTGTTCCAGGAGCATGTAGGGGGGCCCTGGTTTGGACCCTGTGGTCTTCTTTGAAACGGGCCCCAAAGCTCACCCGGGGGAAAGAGCAGGTAAGCATGGTCCCCTGGCTGTCCCTGAGCACAAATGGACATCCCTGAGAGGGCTCAGCAGGACCACAGTGCGAGCGAAGGAAAGGGGTGGGCAGGGAAGGACGGGCAAGGGTGGGAGGAATGGCTGCAGCACTGCCTGGCACTATCCTGTCTGCCCACCTGCAGGAACAGGACCCCAGCACAGTCCCAGGATAGACAGAGGGTCCCCTCCACTTGCTGTGGCTCTGGGGAGCAGGGCCTCTGCTGGGACGTCCTGGTGAGCAGGGGTCAGTAGGGGTCTTCGCTCTGAACTCCAGGCCAGGGAGCCTGGGGAATCAGGGCAGAGAAGGACGTGGCCTGGGGCTCATCACCTCCCTCTCCATCCTAGTTTACATCCTGGTGGCATCTGCCGCCAGGGAAAGACACATCAACACAAGCTGGGAGAGGAAAGGGGCTATCTGGGGCAGGAGACAGACTAAGAAATAGATACTGCTCCCCGTGGATTGCAGCCTGCTTCTTTTTCCCTTTGGATTTAGCTGTGCCCTAATTCTTTCCTGTCGCAGGCTGCTTGGAGCACGTGAGAAGAGGACCACAGAGGCTCAACCCCGGTCTCACTGCCTCCATTCAGCACAGAGCCGCAAAGCAGAGCCAGGACCTGTGTTTTCACGAGGGGACCGACCACACCCTGACCGTCCACTGGTCCATGTGAGATGAAGTCCTCAAGTCTGCCAAGCACAGCAAATCCAGTATTAATATTCAGCATGATTCACGCTTCGGGTTTTTTCTTGAGAAATGTCACCTGTTTCCTGCATCTCTGTTTAGCCGTCTGAGCCAGTATAAAGCTGATCGAGGATCCCGAGGCCCAGCAGGCCCGGAACGCTAAGAAGTAGGTTCTCTGCCAAGGCTGGTGGCTTGGACCAGTCAGCTCAGAGGCAGCCAGTTTCTTTTTCGCAGGGGTTAGAAATGATAATCAGGAGCCATTCTAATTTCAGTTTTGACAATTTTTTGTAAACTAGCAATTATTGAGGGTCTACCATATGCCATGCTCTGTGCAAAGACTTCACAAGTGTTAATTTTAGCCTCACAACAGCCATGGGAAGGAAGTCCTATTATTATCACCCGTGTTTAAAAGTGTGTGTCAGATACCGAGCCTTGGTCCCTGACATTCGCAGCTCACCCCGGTACTGCACAGGCGGAAAGCCTGCAGACTGCGCTCCCCAGATTCTGCCGCCAGCAAGGCCCCGCTTCAGATTCCACCAATGAGAGATTTTGGCAGGCTACCGTAACGTAAAAGGAGAAGCTATTCTTTGCAGGGCGCAGCTGTGAGGATGAGCATAGGACTCTGCAGGAAGGAGACCAGGGACTCTGCCAGCTCCTCCTGGCCCTCTCCAGAGAGCCCGTGGAATGCCATCCACGATGACTTCCTGGCAATTTCAGTAACTTCTTGGTATCCTGAAATCCTGGGGTGCTTTTTCCTGACCTTCATGCTAACATCCCTGCTAACGATTCTGTAAACACTGAATTCCTTTTGTAGAATCCATCCAGCTTGATGGAAATGGAAGCTTTCTGTTTCCATGACTGGCCGCAGCTCACGCCGCATTTGGTTCCAGATTGTTTTCAGGGAACAGAGCCTCTCTAAGAAAGAGAATGTGGGTTGGCTAACAGGGGTAGATTTAGAGTTAGCAATGACCGCCTTGGAGATGGAGTATGTGCCCGCAGTCTGACTTAAACGATAGCTAGCATTTGCCCGTGAAGAAGTTGCCTACTAAAGGCAGGCTTTGGGATGCCAGGTGGCTGTGGGAATGGAAGATTCTGGTGACGACAGTAAGGACGATGTCCGTGGGGTGGGGGTGGGGAGGTGCCATCTGCTCCAGGCAGCACCAAGGAGCTTGGAGAAGAGAAAAAGGCACCAGGAGGGCCTCACATTCTTGGCCCCAGCCAAGTTGAGAAAACTGGAGAACTGAGAGATGCCAATCTCTCACCTGTTACAGCTGTATCCAAAAAGCAAATAAAAGATCGAACACCCAGGGGCTCCGAATTCACAATGTGAGTTGGATTCACAGGCTCACATGGCCCGGAGCCCGGGTGCCCTCTAGCCCACAGGTGTGATCACCCTCAGAGGGCCCACCCACTCCACGCCTGGCACCGCCTGCTGGGGGGCCTCGCCCCCGGCCCTGGGCTGACTGTGCCTGTCTACGGGAGGCATCCGTGTTCGGGTGCCACCCCATGCAGACCTCCCAGCCTGCCTGTGTCTGAGATGCACCCTCTTCCCTGTCATCCCAGGCGCAGCCGCTGTCTCCAGAAGATTCTCTGAGCGCAGCGTGGGAGGAGGGGGGTCCACGCAGGGAGGCCGGTGCCACTGCCCTCCTCCCCTCCTCCTCGGCTGGCAGCCACCTGCCGGCCCAGGGACCCCTTGAGGAGCCCGGAAGGGAGGTTTGCCGGTGGGCCTCGGCAGTACCAGCTTCAGCCACAAGATGGCAGACACTTCCCTAAGAAAAACCTCCAAGAGCCGCAGGGAAACCGCCGACCAGACCACCGGGCTGCCCACGCCCCCGCGCCGCCCTCGGGCTGGGACCTCGTGCACCGTCCTGTCGGGCGGCGGAGAGAGGCTGCGGCCGCCGGCCTGCAATGAGCTTGGCCTCAACTGCGGGCTTCGGCTGTCCTTCCCTCCCCTAGCTCAACTGGGGATAAGAAGGACAAAAAAGAGACTGGGTGCGAAGGAAGGTTCCATCGAGTCTCTTCCTTGTCCTGCTTCGTCCGCGGCCTATTGCAAGTCACGCCCCCCCACCCCCCACTCCTCCGGGCATCCGCGGGGTCTCCCTCCCTCCCGCTGCTCGGATTTACGGCTTGTCTTCCGTGAGCTTCCGGCCGCCCTGCTCTTTCGCCCTCCCTCTGGGTGGGTCCCTCTGTGTGCGGCACAAGGGACAGCGTTATGTGAATTACGACGTCGGTAACCCTCAAAGAGGGCCCTGGCCTGACTGTTCACCAGGGAGGCTGGGAGGGCTGTACCTGCCCAGCACCTCTCCGAACCCAGGAGGGGCCTCTCCAGCCCCCAGGCAGAACAGCCCAGGACCTCCCCAGTCCCACTCCACCCCGGCCCTTCTCCCTGATTCACCCCTCAGCATTGCCTCCCTCACCATCTTCTACCTTTTCAGCCTTCCCCTTCCCCTCTGGGCACTATTTTCTTTGGTGTGGTGGTCTTGACCTATTTCTAGAATGTTCCATTCCCTTGCACACGGAATGTCCTTTCCTCTTTCCCATCACAGGAAATCCTACCCATCTCTCAGGACCCAGACCAAATGTCCTCACCTCTATGAAACCTTGCTCGATTCTGGAAGGCAGAAGCTGCTCACATTCTGTGTTCCCGTGGCATTACACGGCTGGACAGCGCAGATGACGCTGCATTACAACAACCCTTCTGTTCTCTAAGCCACTACCACCCCCAGGACTGTCTGTGCCTCTCCCTTATCTCAGGGCTTCGCGTACTATGCGCAATGAATGAATGGATGAGAAAATGAACTATGGATTCTTGGGACCTCTTGGACATTCTCTCAACTTCTGGATTCTACCTGGGTCCCTGTTGCTACCTCAACCACCTCCTCTGGGGCCTGGGAAGGAATGGTGGGAAGGAGGAGGTGACCAAGGAGCTCAGGCAGCCACTTTCCGTGTCCCAGAGCCCTGGCCAGTTCCATGGGTGGGTTCAGTCTTTAGATGGTGGCACTGTGGCGCTGTGTCCTTGCAGGGAGGAGGACAGAAGGACACCTCCCCATCATCCTCAGCTCCTGAAAAAGCCCATTTGCTCTTCTGCGGGGACAGTGGAGTGGTGCAGGGGAAGGGGGACAGAGAGGATGAAGATGTCATCTCTGGGTTACAGACGGTCCCTCTGGGCCCCTCCAAGTCCGCTGGTCAACCTGGCACTGGGGCCAGGCTATGCAGGTGCTGGCGTGGGTGCAGCCGGTCTCCTGAGCACACAACAGGTGTCCTAGTCAGTGGCGGGGCGGGGGTTCCTAGGCAGCATGTTACTGATCATGGCTGATGCACCAATGCTTGTGGTCATCCACCTTTCCTTAATGAACTGGAGCAGATGGAAAGCTTTACATCCTGATTTCACTTTTACTCCTCTCACTGGCCCTCGGGAGCAGGAAGCAGAGGACTGTCAGGAGAGCTGCAGAGGAGGGGACCACACATAATAAACAGCCTGGTGGCCTCTCCCCTCTCCTGCCGTTCGTAGGGAGGATCCATAAAAACAGTAGACCATTCGTGACTGCAGAGACAACTGCTCACATCACCTCTTCTGCTCACATCACATCTTCTGGCTCCTTCCAATAAGGAGGCTGCACCCGTGACAGTGGAGGGTCCCCAGAACTGCGCTGGATGTAGGAGGCTGGGCAGGGGGGCTCCGGCCTCGAGACCCAGGCGTCCTCACAGGGTCAGTCCCTGGGGCTCGTGGGCCCTGCACCCCGCAGACTGTGCTCATCCTCCAGGCCCTACAGAGGCACTTTTGGGGATGGAGAATGAGTCCACGCCATGACAGACTTGCCTGATTAATAATAACTGCCAAACTGGCTCAAAAGCCCCGCCACGAGGCTGCCCAGAAACAGGCGCCCTTGCTGCTCAACCCGGGGCCTGACTCTGCCCAGGGTGGCACCAGCCCAGCTCCCCA